TTATCTGTCATAGAACTAGCTCTGATAGAAGTTCAGAGAATTCATATAAAAATTCTGAGTTAGGGGCAAGTGGACGATATATGATAACTAGATAAATGTGATTTCAAGCTTGGATGGTTGAGGCTGATTATAAGATTTTCAAAGGAATTGTAACCATCTTTCATTCGAGGGTTGATAAATCAGATGTAGAGATTGCTGCAACCCTTCCACCTCTGCCTGTGCTTCAAGGAGTCTGAGTATTAGTATGGGTGGGGGGGATGTCACTTCATTTAAACCTACATATTCTCCATCTTGCAGCCAGGTTTCTGTTAGACATAATAGATCGATTCGATGATCAGTTATCAGATAAGTAAGGATTTTGGATTGAGTGACCTGATATTTAATAAACTGCATTTTATACTTCTGTTTTTTGTTACTGATATATTGGTTTTGTTGACTTTTATTTGGTTTGAATGTATTTCTCCTCTCCTTATATCTATTGAACCATGTAGATTGATCAATTAATTTGTTAATTTGTGTGTCCTGCACAAAATGGTGACCTGCCTTTGTGGGCTAAACGATGGAGAGCAATGTCACCCAAAATGGTTAGATGACAACCAAAAAATTCCCAAAATCTGTTGGCATTCCTACTTAAGTGTCAGGCCAAAACATTGTTTTGCAGGGGCACCATTGCTACAACCTGCCCAGGATGATTGTGACTGGTTAAAAAGGTACAAAAAAGCCCCAGCATTTTTCTCCCTGTATTGTAGTGCTGTGGACACAGGTCTGATATGTGACCTGTTTTATGATACTCACCTAGGACTATGAATGTAAATTAACATGTATGGTCCTGATCAAATAAACATGGTCAGACCCATATCCAACCTGCCCTTCATTTCCAAAATCCTAGAAAAAGCCGTTGCTAACCAGCTGTGTGGTTACTTAGATAGTAACGGTTTATTGGAAAAATTTCAGTCAGGATTTAGAACCTATCACAGCACAGAAACAGCACTATTGAAAGTCACTAATGACCTTCTTATGGCATCAGATGATGGACTTGTCTCTGTCCTCGTCTTGTTGGACCTTAGTGCAGCCTTCGACACAATAGATCATAAGATTCTGCTACAGAGATTAGAACAACATATAGGAATTAAAGGAACAGCACTACACTGGTTTAAATCATATTTATCAGATAGATTCCAATTTGTTAATGTTAACAATGACTCCTCCATGCACATGCAAGTTAATCATGGAGTTCCACAAGGTTCTGTCCTTGGACCAATACTCTTCACCCTATATATGCTCCCCTTAGGCAACATTATCAGACAGCACCACATACAATTCCACTGCTATGCAGACGACACCCAATTGTATATTTTCATGAAGCATGATGAATCTAATGGCCTAGTTCAACTTCAGGAATGTCTCAAAGATATCAAGGCGTGGATGACCCAAAATTTTCTACTTTTAAACTCAGACAAAACTGAGGTTGTTGTAATTGGCCCTAAACATCTCAGAGAAACACTGTCTGACCAGATAGTCACTTTGGATGGTGTCAGTCTGGCTTCCAGCTCCACTGTGAGGAACCTTGGAGTGTTGTTCGACCAAGACATGTCATTTGACGCCCATATTAAACTAGTGTCTAGGACGGCTTTCTTCCATCTGCGCAATATTAACAAAATTAGAAACATCCTGTCTAAGCAGGATGCTGAAAAACTAGTCCACGCGTTTGTAACCTCTAGATTAGATTACTGCAACTCTCTATTAGCAGGATGCTCCATGAAGACTGTTAAAAGTCTCCAGTTGGTCCAAAATGCTGCAGCACGAGTGCTGAMAGGAACTAGAAGGAGAGATCATATCACTCCTGTCTTAGCTTCCTTACATTGGCTCCCAGTAAAATTTAGAATAGAATTTAAGATCCTGCTCCTCACTTTTAAAGCCCTCAACAATCACGCCCCCTCATATATCAAAGAGCTGATAACACCTTATTATCCAAGTAGATCACTTCGTTCCCAAAACACAGGCTCTCTAGTGGTTCCAAGAGTCTGTAAGAGTAGAGCAGGAGGTAGAACATTTAGCTATCAGGCTCCTCTCCTGTGGAACCAGCTCCCACTCTGGGTTCGGGAGGTAGACACTGTCTCAGCATTTAAAGTAAAACTAAAAACCTTCCTCTTTGACAAAGCCTATAGTTAGGGCTGGATCAGGTGAGTCCTGAACCATCCCTTAGTTGTGCTGCTATAGGTTTAGACTGCTGGGGGAACGCCCATCATGCACTGAGCACTTCTTCACTTCCCTCTGTCTCTCTGTCTCTCTGCCCCCCCACACTCATTTATTTATTTATTTATTAGTTTTAACATGTCATCATGTCAAAGTGTCACTTTGTCCTCCCATAGTCCCTCTGGCTCTTCTCTCTATCTCGTTTCAGATAACTCCGGCACCGGGACTACAGGACCACAACGACCACCATCACCATTGTCTGCATTTATTACAAGAACTCAGCAATTCATTAATATATCTAGTCATGTTGTAGATCTATACATTGTTATTGTTATGGTTAGCCTTGATTTTGATGGTGCCAAATTGTTACCGGTCTCTCTCTCTCCACCTCATCTCTCTCTTCTCTCCCCCGCTTTCCACCCATCTCTCCTTTCCTCCCCCCTTACTTTTCTTTCCTCACCCCAACCGGTCGAGGCAGATGACCGCCCACATTGAGCCTGGTTCTGCCAGAGGTTTCTCCCTGTTAATGAGGGAGTTTTTCCTCTCCACAGTCGCCTGTGCTTGCTCATTGTGGGAACTGTTGGGTTTCTCTATGTTAATGTTGTTTTAAGGTCTTGACCTTTAAATGTAAAGTGCCTTGAGATAATGTAAATTATGAATTGGCGCTATATAAATAAAATTGAATTGAATTGAATTGAATCTCTTTGCATGAGCAGGCTGGCCATGTGAAACAAATAAGGTCAAACATTCACATATCCACAGGAAAAAGTTATAGATTGTAAACGGACTCTAAAGATTGATCTTGGGGTTCCATGAAATCATTGGATCATTTAATTGAAGATCAAAACTTAGACCTTATCATGATTCAGTTGCTGATGCTTTTTTCTGTCAACAAGCTGCCTATGTGATGTGTCATTGTAATGCTCCTGTTTTCTATCATTACAAAAATCTCTGGATTGATGCTTCAAATGTTTATCCTGGAATCACAATGCCCATGTATTTACTAAGCAAAGATAATTAGTATTTAGCATTAATTATTACTACCCTCAAGTCCTGTTATCAATAGTTGTATGTTGATGTGTGTTGCAGTGAGAGAATGACAGCTGAGGAGTGTCTGCTTCATCCATGGATCAAGGTCACTAAATTATTCTACTATTTTCAGGCCCAAAAACCTGCTCTTTTGTGTGTGGTATAATGCTGCTGAGCGTCACTGCATGTTGCTTATAATGAGTCCAAATACTGTTGTCTGTTTCAGCCCATCACACGTAAACAGGTGGCCAATAGGAATCGATCCTCAATCAATATGAAAAACTTCAAAAAGTTCAATGCTAAAAGGAAATGGAAGGTGAGTGTGTTCATGTAAATGGATGACAAATGAGTAATGAAAAGCAGTACTTACACAAAAAAGGTTGTAAAATGTGAAGCTCTGAGCTGCTGCTGAATAGCAGGCAAACCCTGGGTATACGCAACAAGGAACCAAGTCAGTTTTCAAAATAAACAGATAAATATACCAAAAAAAGTTAGTAGAAAGACACATGCAGTCCCTTCATGTTTTGAGTGAATTATCTACAATTGCTTTCCTCTGTAGTCTCCCTCACTGTAATATTACACACAGCTGACCTATATTATTTCAATCTCTCCACATTAGCACCAGGATTTAACTGAGAACTGACCTTATGTGCTTTTCCTACAACAGTGTTTACAGAGTGGGATCATGTCAATCAATCTACTGTTGATTAATAATTAAATTAATCAGAAGTGAGCAAAGTTGAAGGATTTTGAGTTATTGAGGATGTAGAAGTTGGCAAATTCACACTTGTGCAGTTATATAGAGGTAGCACGTATATTTAAAAACATTTATTCAAAGATAACAAATTGAAAAACTATCTAATCTAACAAATGTAACTGTGTTGTGCATGCACGAATGTCTAGCTATATAGTTATAAGGGCCAATTTTGGTTCAATGCCATCATTGTGTGGACATTTTAATGTTGTGATGACATTTTGGATGGTCCCCACAAATTAAATGGGCTGTTTGAGGGTTAAGACCTGGTTTTGGGTCAGAGTTAGAATTGGCTTTAGGTTGGGGTTAGGGTTAAGCACTTTAGGCAAGATTGTGGGGTTAAAGTTCATTAACTGTACTATTAACAAGGTGGTGATTAACAAAAAAAAAAACTACAAAGATGGCGGCCCTGCATGTTCTTTGTTGAGGCCAACGCATGAAGAATAAGAGTGCCAGGTTAGAAGAGAGGTTTTTCAATTGCAAGACTTAGTCCTGAATATACTGTGATTGTGGTACATACTAACATCAACAAACAAACATACAGTGAACTCCTCTGCAGTTCCTCTGGAGGAGTTGTATATGTGAGTGCAAGTGTCTGAGTGAGAGCCTCCAGAGTGTCTGAAGAGTTTTTATGTGCCTGGCCCCCTAGTATAAAGTCTGCAGAAAGTCAGCAGAAGTCAATAACTATTGGACATATATCCAGACATTTCAACAAAAATAGAGGTACTAGACAAAGATGTTCATTATCACCATTATTGTTTGAACATGTTATAGAACCACTCGCCTCAACCATGAGACAGCATAACAGCATTACAGGCATTAAACCAACAAACCAACATGTGTTGATCAGCCTGATCAACACATTTGGCAAGGTTTCTTGCTACTCTATTAACTGGTCTATGCCCGAGACCCTGCCTCTAAGCCACTTTGACTGGGGGATTTACCTCTTAACCATACAAATAATATGCTAGTAAATATCACGGAATCTATGTCTAATCAAAACTGAAAGAATTTCCTGAAAGAAAGTAACACTACAGCACGTGAAAGAAGATCTAGATAGATGGAATAAACTCCCATGGTTTAATTGGCCGCATTTCTACAGTCAAAATATTCCCAAAAGTAAACTACTTATTTTTTATGACCCCTGTTAATCTATCTCTGGCCTGGTTCTCCTCTCTGAACTCAACCATCAGCACATTAAACAGGAAAAACTAAAGGCCCAGGATGGAAATAACCACACTCCAAAAACCCAAACAATATGGTGTTTTTGACATACCAAATTTATACCATTACATCCTCTCTGACCAACTTCAGTACAATCGGCACTGAACAAATAACTAATTCCTCCCAGCTTGATATGGAACAGATCATCAGTAAGGACCTACCGATTCAGTATATTGCACTTGTAGATAAAGTAGAAAAAACCCACAGAAACTTCAAATTTAACACCATAACCCTCACTTCTTGATGGAAAACTAACAATTCACTTACTTCTCCTTCCAATCTTGCATTTCCCTACATTCACAATCAACAAGGAACCAATTAACTTCTCTGTATGGAAACAGAAAGGAATAACTAGTCTGGGGCACCTTTTGAGTGACAGCTCTCTCATGACCTTTGACCATCTCAAACAAACATAAAACTTGCCCTGTCAATACCAGTACATACAGCTGAAAGAAACTATTGAAAAAAGATATCCACAACATCAACAATTTCACTCCCCCCCTTGCTGCTATAACTATGTTCTCTATTGTGTCAACACTATCTCTCCACCCTACATATTCCATATATACGGGGAACTAACCCCCATGGGGGCAGCAGACGTAGATTCCTCTTTAAGACACATCACCTGTGGTGGCCGCTTCAGTTCCTTGATTTCCATGGTAGGAAGCAGTCAGACACCAATCTTAGTTGATGGCTGTGAATGATAGATAAATAAATTACTTTATTCATCCCCAAAGGGAAATTAGGTCGTCATAGCAATTCTGTATTTGGACACAATAAAAATACAATAGAATAAGATAATTTAGGTAGAAAAAAATAAAACAATAAAAACACGGAATAGGACAAGGGCACTTAAAAAACACAAGATAAATAGGTAGATAAGGTGCAGTGGCAAGATGATGGTAATAGTACTGATGATATGATG